CCCCCCCCCCCCCCCCTGCCCGAGAGAAAAACAAAAGGACTATTCCGGGACTCGGCGAGGCGGAGGGGGGCCAAACGCTCCTTTGCTCAGCAGCTCTCGGGTCGCTCCTGGCTCCCGTTTGGGAGCCCGTGGCGTTTTGGCGGGGAAAAGGGCTTTGCCCCCGCTCCAAAACTCTATGGGGCCCGGGATCTCAACCTCAGGGGCCGGAAGCGGCGGAAGCGGAACCGTTCTGGAGATGTGCTCGCTTTCCCTTGGGCACCGCCACCTCCGCGGTGTCCTGCAGTGTCCAGGAAAGGGCGGAAGAGAGACATTCACATCCCTTCAGCTCCCTGCAGATCGTGCAAGGTCCTTGGACAGCACGGCATCCAAGACCTCAGCACCAGCGCTGCCGTCCGCAGGCTCCGCAGGCGCGGCGCGCTGCCGTCTCTGGCCGGGCCGGGGCCCCGGGCATCCTCGTTGTACTCCTCGATGCGCTGCTGCGCCACGGACTTGGAAGAGAGGAAGGCCTCGATCGCGAACTTGAAGATGCCCACGGCCTCCGGCGCACGGAGAGACGGACAGGGAGACCCATCTTTGCCGGTCTCCGTTCATAGCTACTCGGAATGCACTCATGGACAGATGCGATTTTGATGATGATGTCCGCCGCCCTTGCTCCTGCCTAGACTTCCGTTTGTGGTCCATACATGAGATGCCGAAGTATGTAACTACGTAACCAGCATGCAGCTATGTGCACCTTGTGCGTCTGGCTTGAACTGGCACCTGGAATCTTGGGCCCCGACGCGCTCGGCGATGACGAAAGTCAGGAGCAGCTGGAAATGGCTTGCCGAATGCAAGTCGTGGAAGATGAAGATAGCCTGCAGTAGTTCTCCGATGGTGCTCGCACCAGCTGTCGTGTGTCGTGTGTGGTTGAGAGTAGCACATGAAGTAGCTTAGTAGCAGCTAGTACAGTAGCAGTATTCGCAGCAGCAACACAGCAACATCCTTTGTTCGTCATCGTGATTATCGAGGCCGACGCCGTCGCCGTGGTGGTGGCGGTGGCTGGTCGAGTGGTCCGTGGTGGTGATGGTGGTGTGTCTGGTCGCGGTAGTGGCAGTGGCAGTAGCAACCCGTAGTATAGCAGTCCATCGAAGATGGGTGATGGGTTTGCTTCCTTACGTCAAGACGTCAAGCGTCTCACACACGGATGCCGAGGCGCTATGTAGCAGGTGACGGTAACGCCCATGTAGGCCACAAAGTTCAAGATGCCGATCCAGGACCCGATGCCTTCCTGGCATCAGCGGGGCGGTGTAGAGAGCGGCGCGGGGCGGGAGGAGGGCGTGCGACTTCAGTGGCGGCGTCGTTTGGCTCGGCGCGCCTGGGAGCGGGGGATCACCCGTTGCTGGACGTAGCAGAACTTGTAGCCGGCCAGCCTGCGCCAGCAGAAGAGTGCAGAAGAGAGTGCAGTGAGTGCGGAGTGCGGTAACAGCATGTGTGTAAGAGCGTAGGAGCACCGCCACGCGCCATCCAAGCAAGGGAAGGAGGGAGAGAAAGTGCAAAATCACAGTCACCGATTCAGTCAGTGAGAGCAACCTAGAGCGAGATCAATCACTTTCCCCAATCACACACTCACGAGCAATCCTTTGTGCAACCAAGCAGTCGTCCAGTCTTGAGCCAATGCCATTCGGCATCGTTGCATTCACAAATGCATCTTGAACATTAGGGGTGCATTGGGCTCGTGTCATCTAACAGTAACAGAGAGAGAGAGAGAGAGAGAGAGAGAGAGAGAG